TTATTAATGGTTTTAGAGAAATTCATATTAATAATTTCAGTGATATGTTGAGTACATGATATTGCTGCTTTCGAATGTTTAAATAGATTTAGAAATACTTTAAGTATGCAAGTGGACTCATTCGGTTCGCCGCTGAGGTATAAATGGACCAATCCGGTACGTCGATAGGGATTAAGTGGACTCATCCGGTACGCCGGTGAGGTATAAGTGGACCTGCAGGGATTAAGTGGACCTATCTGTGACGGCGATAAGGATTAAGTGGACCCATCAGGACGCTGATGGGGTATATAGGTGACCTACTTGAGACGCCAGTAGGGTATTTTGTGAAATCTTATGAATTATGCACTGACGTTAAAATGTTATACGCATTTCACTTATTCGAATTATACTTTATTATGCATTTTTTAAAGTGAAACTGTTGATGCATTTCTGTTAATAGATCTCCTTTTTGAAAATATTTATATCTTTCAACCATGATTATTTTTAGGATTATGATGATCACTTTCTGAGTAGCCAAACTCATCAAATTATGGTAAACATTTTTTTGAGGATAACTGCGGTTCATTTTGAGTGCTCGTCAGGATCAACTCTGAAAGATATTGTAGTTGTGCTTAAACTTTCTTTTGTAACTTTGTAAGAATTCGCCATTGTAAATTTGTCCTAAAAAAAGATGTATATATGTTTTGACTGTCACATCTCACGAATATCAGTATTGTAAATTCTTGGGGCGTGACATGGACTCTTAAGGTAGTTCTCAAACACTGGGGTCTTTCAGGGGAATATTGAAATTAGGAAAAACTGTGATAAACACCATTCCTGCATCGAGGGTTGTTTGGACATTGGCAATGACTGCCTGATGGTATTTTTTGAATCGAGTGTCATGGAGGGCTAGCCTTGTTGTAACACCGAGGCCTTCCGACCATGGAAGGTTAATGCTAACCTTACCGCTCCAAAATGCATGTGGGTATACTCCTGCCTCATGTAGTATTCAGGGAGTGGGAGTTCCTTAAGCATTTCTAAGGTGATGTATCGCACGGCTTCTGTGGCTAGGATGAGGTACTTATCAAACTTAGAAGATTGATGCAGTTCTTTCACTGAAAGGGGGGACTTGGACTGGAAAAAGGTTTTGATTGTTTTAACAAACTGGGGTTGTGGTTTATTGAACACATAATAAGGATTGATTAGAGGAAGACTTGATTCTGGGACCTTTCCATCTATGGGAAGGTAATCTATCTCATACAGGCGTTCTAATCTAGATTTTGAACTTTGACAGAAAGGTTCTACAAAAGAGGAAGTGGAGGGTTAATGTTAACCTTACTGCTCCAATCTAAGTCCTAACCCTTTCGATCGGCGCCACATATAGCCAGCCCACTTAAGTCTACTCTCTCTCACCTTATCGCCTATTGATACCACACCTAAACTCTCCCAAATGAATTCATTTTGAATTCTATCCATTCTTGTCTTGTCACTCATTCATCTCAACATCTTCTTCCTCCATAACACTCATTCTGTGGGTATATTGTTTTTAGTCTACCCAACATTCCGCCCCATAGAGCAAAGCTGATCTCACAGTTGTCCCATAGAATTTGCCTTTTAGCTTCATTGGTATGCGACGATCACATGAAATTCCAGTTGCACATATCCACTTCGCTTACCCAACTGTAATTTTATATGCGACATCTTCCTCAACAGCTCCAATTTCTTGGATTATCGTCCCAAGATATCAAAAGTACTGTCTTTTTTGTACTTCCTGGACGTCAATCTTAACTACTTCCTCATCTCTACTCCTATTATTACTAAACTTGCAGTCTGTATATTTGGCCTTAGCCCGGCTAATTTTAAAATCTTTGGATTCTAGAGCACCCCTCACAAATTATAACTTTATGTTGACACCATTACAGGTCTCATCGATCAAAACTGTCATATGCGAACAACATGCACCATGGCACCTCATCATGTAGCTGCCCAGTTAAGTCGTCCATAACTAAGACAACGAGGTACGGCTCAATACTGACAGTTGATGTAAACCTATTGTCACTGAAAACGCGCTCGTCTCTCCACTATTTGTTCGTACACTAGTTAGAGATCCATCGTACATATACTGATTTGGATAATAAGAGGGAAAATATACAAATATCAATCTACATTCAAGGATAAGTACTAGAATTACCCTCAATCTAGATGAAACTAGTATAATAATCCAAGTCATTAGCAAATAATAATAACCGACATAAATATCGAGACCATCTAACTAGGTGAAGCTTAGGACCTTGCTACAGCCTGCAATTCATTTGCAAGTGATCTGTGATCAAGATTTCATACCCCAACAGAACGGCCAAAAAATGGAAAAGAAACCGCTAGCCAGTTGGTTCCCGGAAAGTGGTCAAAATTATTAGACCAAAGTAGGAACCTTATAAATGACTAGTACTCCCATTCAAACTAACACCTTCATGCCGATTCCTATTGGAAAACCTTCTCTCCATGTGTTCCTCTTACCCCCTCCAACATATGTGCCTTGTTGTTTTCATGAGCATAAAAATGTCCTAAGTTTTTATAAGTGGAATCAAGTTCCCATCTACTTAATTGAAAATGCATTTATTTTCCAACTTATAGTGACTAGATTAAAAGCAGGCTGGTATATGCATAAAAGCAGCAGGGCCAAGAACAGTCAAAATTAGTCATCCGCCAATGCAGCCTTTTTGTTGCACTTCTAGCCTTTCTAAGTGGTGACAAGTAGTTGAGTCTCTATATTTTACTCCAAATCTATTAATGGCTTAGTTAACATCAAGGAGGAAGAACTAGGGAAGCGTGCTAAGCAACTTAAAATAAATACAGAAACTAAGACCTTGGCCTAGTAGAACCGCAACATTTTTTAGAAAGGAGGTTCACAAATCACGAAGAATGTCAATATAAAAATCTCCAAAAAATTTGTACACGAAGCATTTCAGATATAGGATAGCAAACCCAACCCATGTACAAAATCTAACATAGAATTTTGTATTGCTAAATATCACAAGCTTTTAGTCAAGTAGTTATTCCATAATCAGTACCCTTTCATAGTGTCTCAAATCTAGCACTTCTATAAAACTATTGCTGAAATTCGTTGATGTGCTGTGATTTTTCACACATCAAACACATATAAGACCAAAGGAAGAACACCAACCAATTACACAAACGGCAAGCTTTCTATGCTTCCTCTACAACATAAAACTTATATACTTCCCCTTATCCAGCCGTCCAGAATGGCGAGCTAAGATGGCCCCAATCACAATGTCACGTCTCTACACTACCGTCCAGAATGGA